AAAGTCACCACATGAAGAATACCAACAAATTCGAAAAAAAACGTGCCGTATCATTTTTGTCGGTGACGAGACCTATCCTGTGTTACTTTTCATTGAAAGGAAAGAAAAAAAGCGATAAATAATATTCGGTGATTCATCAACTGTGCTTTTTTGTCCCATTTCTCATGTATCATCGAAAGAAACAATCTAATCAATCGGATAAAATACAAATGAAGATGAGGAAAATTTGCTAGACGGAAGCGTCCATCAGTAAGAATATTGAAAAGCAAGAATTCATAAGAAATTGACTAATATGATCACTGTGTATGGTAGAGCGATATATGAGGAAATGTTCATCTGCTAACTGGTGAAATATGCACCAACAGTACAAGACATAGGGAAGAAAAAAATAAAAAGCAAGCAAGAGTGTATGTCTATGTGAGTATGGAATGAATATAACTGTAGATGTTGGTGTGGATTGGTGGAAAACAAGACACCCACACCCATATTTTAGCTCCTCTCTGAGCATTACTATTCTAATTATTTATATCAAACAATGTACCAATAAATAACAATGCTTTTTCGATTATTATCTGTACCGAGAAAACAATAACTGGAAGAGAAAAATAGGACTGATCTATTACAAAAAGTATTGTTTATAATAAAGAGATTTCCTACTCTGAGGCAGATCTTCTTTAAGATGTTTCATTTTTGTTATTTAATGGAACATAATCAACAAGATTATATTTTTAATATTTAGCAAGATATTTATACAGTGGCTGGCTAATCTCATACATCACTCATTTCTTTATCAGATAATTTTTTATCAAGATGTGATGATCGACGTGATTCCATTCGATTCCAATAATAATGTTCGACGAGCTAATTCAAACAAAAAATTCATGAGGACCTGGTGCGTGAACATTTTGAAAACTTTCATCAGTAAATGCTTTATACCATGAATACATAATAATTGGTGACTCATTTAAAAAAATTTAATAGTTGATCACTTTCTTGTAATAAATGAAGAAGTTCTATTAAAGTAATGTTTTTTGTTCAATAACAAAACGATGCATTTGATCACAAAGTTGTTCTAAATCCTCCCTATAATAGAAGCCTCTTCCAGAAAGGATTAACGTAAAAGATATATTAGAAGCTCTCTCACTTTTAAAAACTTGTTGGAAAGTTTTTTTTTGAATTTTCATCATAAAAATTTCAAAATTAAACATCTTAAGGTAAGAATTTGCTTGATTTTCTTATTTATCAGCATAAAAATCTTGAAATCTCTTAGAAAGCCATTTGAACAACTCTTAAAAATTCTGAAAATCTCTAAAAACCCTTTGAAATTGTTCCATCTAGTAATAATAACAATGATTTTACAGGAGTATATAACGTTACTGTTTAAATTTGGTAGGAAGAAATAAAAATTTTTTTCAAACTTTTTGTTTTCTTTTATTTCATATCGACATTTCGATGTATAAGTCTTTATTACCGAGATATAGAATGAGATTGTTCGAAAAATAGAGCATTTTACAGAACAGAATAAGAACAAAAGCCTTCTACACGGTGCACAAACTTAATTTAAATTCAGCAGCGTGATTGGTGCAATAATATTCAAGTTATCTCCAGAAGATGATTTAACTCTTAATGTTCCAATCACGTTGCTTAATTCAATTTCAATTAATTTCCTGTCGTCTAGTATGTACAAGGTCAACTAGAAGAAAGAGAGACGTTTATAATGAATAGAAACGAATTATAAATAACTCTACAAAATACAGAAAGAAACAAATGAATGTCTCTCTTTGTTCTTATTTGGTCCTATGCAAAATTTTCTATTTTTGTAATAATCTCTCATTCTATATCTCGGTAATGAAGTTTTCTACTTCGAAACGTTGATATAAAATAAAATAAAAAGAAGAATTAAAAAAAGGAACTTCTATTTCTTCCTATTAAATTTAAACAATAATGTTATAGGCTGTTGGAAAATCACTATTATTATTTTCAAAGCTATTTTCCATAAATACACAATTTTACATCTAAAAGTATTGAAAAATTTTAGGACTTAATAGAAGCTCCCTCCGAAAACTTTGGATGATAGACAGTTTAGAAGCTCCCGGGAGCTTCTAAACTTGGGAGGGAATTAGTAAAAAATCAGACTTTTCTGATATATTATAGAAATGGAATGATAAAAAAAAGCATTGAAACATCCGACCAGACTGGTCAACCCCATATAATATTTACAAGTTTAGTGTTCTTACTGTTTCTTTATAATTTTTATTAATTTTTGGCTCGATTGAAAAAGACTGTACCAAATAAAATGAAATAAAAATTAAAACATGGACTTGTTGTGCTACTAATTTAGGCTTAATTTATTTTCAAAAAAATGCACAATATGTTTCATATTTATTTTTATTCTTGAAGGACTTGAAGATACTCGTCATGCTTGAAAAGACTCAGAAACTAATCGAATATTTACTGTTGCTATTAGTTGTAATGATATAGGACGTCGAAGAAATTCTTTTTATAAAATGCAACTAATCGAATCTGCCAATAGCCAACAATGGTTTTTCTTTAGATCAAGATAAGTTTTTTTTTTCTTTTTTCTGTTTTACTAAAATATATTTAGAGTTTTTTCATAGGTGAAACAGTTACAATTCATGATGGTAATAAAGTTGATGAATATAGTTGCCAAACAAATGCTGTAAATGTATTTCATATATTATCTATGAACAAAATAGGCATGAATGATCAGTGTTAACAGTGATTCATCCTCATCTTTCTCTTGACATCTTTCTTTTCTCTTTCTTCTTTAGTCACTGTTACTCGTATTGCTGTTGCTTCTCTTCTTTCTTTTTTTTTCTTCTCTTTGCACCGTTATGTATATGTACAAGATGTTAAGGATATTTTTTGGGATATATTAAAATAAAATAAACTTAAGCTCGTAAAAGAGAGCTAACAGTCAGAAAGAAAAATTTTCAGAAATTACTAAATAAGTATTATTTACTTGAAATTGATTATAGACAATATGCTGATAATCATATTTGACAAAAATTAAAGTACTAATTTAAATATTCTTTAGAAATTCTCAAACTCAGTTCAAGATTTTGTTAATATGGTTTTTAATGTTGAAACTGTGAAACAAGTTTTATTATGATTTGAAATTAATTTAATTATTGACATAATCATAAATTCTAATTGGGGATAAGGATTAAACATTTCGCGAAATAAAACTAATAAAAATCTGTATGTCTATCACATTCATCTGTAGAAACAACAGTTATCTATTTCTTACTTAGAACAATCTTTTACCGATTATTCATTGCTGTAAGAAGCCAAAAGATTAACGGATGAATTTCGTTAACAATAACAATGTGACTTTTCTTAACAGAAGGAAAAGGAAAATGGCGCAAATAAATATAGAAGAATGTAGGCAGGAAGAAACAAACAAGAGAACATACGAATATACAATTTCAGCTTTTTATACTTATCTATTAATTGTTGAAATATATCCAGTAGATGGAGAAGAACTCCAAGAGGATATGAAGCACAAAAAGGCAAAAATAAAAAAATTGTTTAAATTTTGAGTGGGTAAAGGGGATCCATCAAGAATAACCAAATGAATATATTTTATTCTTTCCAATCGAAACAAAAAAGACAAAACAAATAAAAACATTTGAATGCTTTGTCAATTTAATTAGATGAATAATATTATCCTTGTTGTATTTCACAGTGAGTACCAGTAAATTGTTGGCCGCAATAACAAAAAAATGAATTTCCATTATTATAACATGGACGATTATTTCGACATGGACTATTAGCACATGTTACGCCAGCTAAAAATCAATTTCAAATCTTTGATTTTTTTTATTAAAATATTCATTTAATTAAATTTAAAATAATAAAGCCTTTTTTTTCATTTTATTTTTAATAAATTTTCTTGAAAAATGCGTAGAAGTATCTTTTTTTTATAGTGAAGGAAAAATTTTAGTGATAATCATTATTTCTAGACAAGAATTTTATTAATCGAATCTATTTTAGTACTTTATCCTAACAAAAATATCTAATGAAAATGTTTTTTCGTTTGAAAACTTCGTGTTTTTAGCGTGACAATTGATAAAACTCGAAAAGATCTTCTGAAAATTTTCTGATAACAAACTGAAACTTCATTTAAAAATCCATTTTTTAAAATATAGAGAGTATCCGAAAAGTCACTATACACTTGGCACTGCACACATTTGTCACAGTTGAAAATTATTTTTCATGATGGATTATTTCTAAATGATTATCTATCGTCAAGTGAAACTGTCAAGACACTCAATAGCTAGTAGAAAATGATTTAGAAATAATAACTAATGAATAATGTTCAAACATTGCAATGTATATAATACTAAGTGTAAAGTGACTTTTCGAACATCCTGTAATTTATTTTAAATGATTAAAGAAAAATTCTGTCTATGTCATCTTTTTAAAGAAATTTTCTTTCTTTTTTCAAGTTTATCAAAAATAAAAGTGGTAAAAAATTTCTTCCGATAAATAAAAGAAGAATAAATACCTATAGGTGGATTTGTTGCTATTGGTGTCACTGGTGGAGTTGGCTGTATTGGTGTCACTGGTGGATTTGTTTGTCCTGTCACGATAGGTTCTGGTCCCGCTATAAATCAAATCATTTTTTATCAACAAAATCGATCATGACAACAAAAATTTAACGTTTAATGAAAGTGATTATCGGAGGACTCATTTCAACAGCGGTTAATATTAAGCAGAAAAATTCTTTATTCAACATAATTAATGTAGATAAGAAAGAAAAATGAATGATTTATAACGATGCATCGAGTTTTTCCAGCAAAGTTTTGAGAAAATATTCAATTCACATTTGAGCTTTTAATCTGATTCGATAATTAAAATGAAAGGTTTTTTTTAGAATATATTACATAGAGAAATACATTTTGGAAAAATTTATCATAGTTTGACAAGATTCAAAGTAGTTCTCTCCGATATAATGTATTATTTGATAATTTATCAATTAATTCGAAAAGAGAATCTGATGTTTTACCTGGAAAATATTCCAAAATATCAAAGTGATTGATTTTTGTTTTAAATTTTCTAAATGATTGCAAAGAATCCTTTCATATCTTATTAGAAGTTCTTAATAGAAATTATTTTATCCTATTAGCAGTATTATTTCATATGGGAAAATATTTCTTTAAAAAAAAACTTATTTTGATTAAAAAAAATTCGATGCACAAGCAAACCTATGTATTCGAGATGTTTTCTCGTCTAATGCCTTCTTGAATAAATATTAGTTAGAATTAGTTCGAAACTTTGTTTGAAATCTTCTATTATTTTATACTTTGATAACAGAATATCCAAAAATATTTTTTGAGTTTTGCTAAGATTGCAGTTAGAATATTTATTTTTTTGAACAGGTGATAGGAGTATATATTACTTTCTCTGCTGTTCTCCGCAGCACATACATGTTGTAAGGCATAATAGTTTATTAACCACTTGACTGTTAATGACGAGTATACTCGTCAGACAAGTTTTCATGAAAAAAATGAATACTATAACTTTTTAACCCTGTTTTCTTTGTATGCTATGAGTCGATTCTAGTATCTGGCACCTACTGGAGCTTCCCTACCAAATATATTCTTTGTCCACTATCGCTATCTCTTTCTTTCTATAAAGTGTACTAGATAGTTTTAAAAAAAATTAACAGTCAAGTGGTTAAAATACTTTTCTCTTTGTTTATTTCTGTAGTTTGTTTTTTTTTTATCGAATTATATTTTCCGTTTGTCTATGAAATTTTCTTCGTACGTGAATACGAAATATATGAATCTATGATTTGTGAAAAGAAAAACGTGTGATATGCGAAGAAGACAACAAAAAGATTGTATGTGATTTCTCATCTACTAATTAGGAGTGAAATTTTTGTCATTTTCCAAACAAAAAACCGACATAAAAGATTTTAAGAAATAAACGAGGAAAAAAGAGAAAGATTTTCAAGATAAAATAATTCTTGTCAATTGATAGATATTTTGTTAATCAAAGAAAATTACACATCCAGAGATTTTCTAGTCTAAGAAGAAATTCTTCATCATATTAGAAATATTATCTAAGAATTTCATATTGTTGGAAAGCATATATATGAATAATAGAAATGCCTCTTAAATAGTTCTATTTGTGTAGATGATTATTTCCTAAAAGTAGTTTACTCAATAAAAATCAAAAAATTAAAAATTTCTATTCAAATACAAGTCTTTTACAAAACGAAATCATGAAGAAATTCTTGTAAGTGTAATAATACATACGTGACCATCCTGTTGGAGTTTGACATTGATCACCCGTGTGTGATGGTGGACATTGACAAAGCGCTCGGCCATTACTGACAACGCAAAATCCACTATTGCAATAATTTTCCGGGAGAAAACTACAAATGACATCGGTTGTAGTTGTGCCTGTTGTCGTCGTTGTAGTCGGGCCTGTTGTCGTCGTTGTAGTTGGTCCAAGTGTTGTTGTCTTACGAATATTACACCGCAAACCATCGAAATCCTCTCCACATTTGCATTCTGGTTCGTCACTCTCTATTGTGCAAATGCCATCGTTGAAGCAATAATTATAACAAACTGCAATAGGAAATAAGAAAAATCCAAAGTGTGTTTAATATTTCTTTTTGTTAATAATTTCTAAATACTAACGGGTGATCGAAAAGTTTTTGGGCAAAATATTGAAAGCTGAAACATATTTATAAAACCTATTGGAATAAATTTTTTTTGTTCTATTAAACAACTGTCGTGAAAATGATTGACCTTCATAAACGTGATTTTTCTATGCTTGAGCAAACCAGAATAACGGATGGCTCATAAAGAATGGCTGCAGTTTGTATCTCATATTATTATGTCTAAATACATTTTATTAGAAAAACAAACTATACCACAAGATGCAGCATGAAAAGTTCTACAAAATAAAGCTTATTTTAATTATGTGCTTTTCCTTTTCAAAGAAAAAGCAAAACTCCATGCGACCGATTTTCGATGCTATGAAAAGAAGATCATTTTTTGCTATACGAGTTATTTCTTTTCATAGCGTCGAAAATTGGTTGCATAGAATTTCTCTTTTTTGAAAAGGAAAAGTACACAATTAAAATAAGCTTTACTTTGTAGAGCTTTTCATGCTGCATCTTGTGGTATAGTTTGTTTTTCTAATAAAATGTATTTAGACATAATAATATGAAGTACAAACTGCAATCATTCTTTATGGGCCATCCGTTATTCTTTTTTGCCCAAGCATAGAAAAAAATCACGTTTATGAAGATTAATCATTTTCACCATAGATGTTCAATCGAAAAATCTCAAATTAATAATGCGGACAGAGAGCAAGATAAGCTATTTAATGGAACAAAAAAAAAATTTATTTCGATAGATTTTATAAATATGTTTCAGCTTTCAACATTTTGTCCAAAAACTTTTCGATTATTCGTTACCTTATTGGATACTCCTGATTAAACTGCATAGAAAGAGATTCTTTCAAATTTTTTTATCAGATAATTTATCAAAAGGATGAAAAATTATTCGATTTCATAGAAAAGCAACTAAATTTTTGAAAAGAAGTCGCTCTTTTCAATTCTTTTTCTAATAACTACAAAATGAATTTTTGCTTAATTTATTTCAAAACTAATCTTCGACGCTTAACTATGGAAATTATTCAAATAGAATCTTAGCGAATTTTTCTATGGAAGAAATTTGATGTGGATGTTACTATCATATCTTTTGAAAATCTTGTTTTTCCTTTAATAAGATGCGGTATTGCTCAGAATTTTCTAGTCAATGTTCAGATAACTGATCCTTCATTACTAATAATTGATTCAACTGTCGTTGTGCATAAGTGTTTGTCTTAGTTTTATAAATTGAATAAAAAAGAAAAAAGCTTAACGTATCTAAGGCAATTATTTCCAAATAATTAACAAGAGTTGTCTGGAACAGATCTTTTCAAATATTAGCGAGATTATTGTTTCAAACAATCTTGATTCACTAACATAGACGGCGGAACCACGCGGCCTGGGTAGACTCAAGTGTAACGAAAAGACTCCGTTAGATTTGGTGACCTATCTCGAATCAAGATATCATATATATGGCTTTGTAGAGCAAGTTGCGGGAAACTTTCCGAAAAACTCCACACTATCGAGCTCTATATGTTTCACAAAGAACTTCTTCTGAAACAGCAAGGACTCATTGTTAATTAGCAAGATTATCCCCTAAAACAGCCTATTTTCCTATATGAAGGGAGCAGTATATTGTCGATATTTCAATAATACTCATTATTACCAAGAAAATTTGTTATGTATCGAGAATTTGCACAAAACCTCTGATTAACTGATATAAATAACTTCTTTAAAAAAGGAAAAAAATTTTGGCCTCTGAACCACTGAAGGGGAGTATAGTAATATACAAAAATTTTATCTTTCAGATGAATACAAGATATTAGTAGGCTGTTCTAGAGTTCCATGCAGAAATCAAACTTGGATACTCTGAATCATAATTTAGAAAAGAAATAATAAAAATAACAGACTTCTTTCTATAACCTTATCTCCGTACCCCCTCCAAAGGTCAACAAATTTTCTCCATTTTTAAAAAAGTTATTTATATCAGTCAATCAGAGGTCTTGTGCAGATTCTCGATACATAACAAATTTTCTTGGCAATAATGAGTATTGTTGAAATATTGTCAATATACTGCTCTCCTCGTATAGGCAAATAGGCTGTTTAGGGAATAATCCTACTAATTAACTATGAGTCCCCGTTGTTTCAGAAGAAGTTTTTTGTGAAATGTATAAAACTCGATAGTGTGTAGTTTTTGAGGAAGTTTCACGTTGGTACTGCTTACTCCTGTGGCGCAGGATCGGCACACTAGAGTGCTATATAGTCATTAAATAGTCTAGGCCTATGAAAAGTATCCATTTTTAACTATGACAATAGCAATGATGAAAATTATTGAATATAGTAAATTGAAGAGTATCTAAAACTGTATTGAATTGAGCTTTTTGAAAAAAATTTTCATAAATCTATCTTAGAATATCTATCCTGGGACCATTATATCCCCTGAGTACCATATAAAATCCCTCAAGCAGTATAATCAGTCTACAAAACCATATATATGGTATCCTGTTTCGAGATGGGTGACCAAATCCGATGAGGCCCTTTAGGGTGACCCATTTTAACAATTACTAGTTCAAGATTATTTTATTTCTAGATTCACGTCACAATAACATACTATTACTTATATCTACTATTTCATATATACCAACTACCTTCCTTTCTCTTTCCTCCTCTCGCTTATATACCCATCGGTTAGTAGGCGAGCAGAGAGAGTGGAAGAAAGAAGAAATGAAAAAGGGAGAGGAGACATGGAAGAGAAATGTGAAAATACAACTACTGTTGTTATATAAGTTTGATTAGTCTATACTAACAATGATACAATGGTTATTGCATCACCGAGTGCACACGACGCGACGCTGATGTAATTGTTCGCTTAGACAGATTGCTTCCATAATTGGCACATCAAGCCCACTCTAGATTGGACAGATACAAAGGCTTAGATAGGCTCTATCTAATGTAAAAATTTTCTATTACTGTTTAATTCTCATTTTCTTCTGACACACACCACGCTATTAAAAGGCCAGTCCATATTTTGTTCACTATTAATTGATAGGCGGCGAAGCCACGAGGCCTGAATGGACGAAAGCCCACCCTAGATTGAGGCTTCGTAGGCTAGGATAGGCTCAAACACTTGCTTCTCATTTCATCAAATTGACATATTTATGTGAATGTCAAAGTTTTTCGGCAGCAACTACTAATACTTTTCTAATGAAACAAATGTATAAACATTTTCGCGGAAAAAAATTAAGTTTTATATGACTAAATATGGTAACATACATCAGTAATGACTTGAAATTATGGTCCTTTGTTATAAATGAAGAAAAACTGTACAGAAGGTCTGAGTTAGATCAGCTAGATATTGTCCAAAATTTTCTTCACCTTCAGAAGTTAATCTCAGATGCTTATCAAACATTTTCAACAAACTAAACAAACTCACAATGCAATTCATTTTTTTTTGTGAACGCTACTGCTTTGCCATTATTCTGGTTTTTTAGTAAAACAAATGAAAAACGCCTCGTTTCAAGGTAGATTCTGTCGAGTTGGTCCGAAATCCGAACGAATCTGAATCTGAAAGTTTTCTTTTGATCGGGTTTGAGTCCAGGACCCAGTGCGAAAATTTGGACGTGAGCGGCTCTAGTTAAGAGTAAAAGGCAGCCGTAGCTGTAACTTGATTATTTTAAGATCACCATCAAAATCGTTTGAGGAATGTCAGGGTGCGCTAATCACCGGAAAATTAATCGAAAAAAACGATGTGGTATCTTCGGTGCGATTATCAGATTTGGATTAGAAAACTTTATTGAGAGTATGAAGATGATGAGTTCGGATCTGAAAACTTTTAATCTGATGAACTCTATTTGAAGGACGATATTCAATAAAGACAAAGGTTCGCATGTTTCTTTGAATGCAAATTTTTTTAACACAAGTTGCAAAATCTTTTGTGATCTGCATTAGTATTACACACTAAAAAAAATTGAGTTCGAAATATGAAGCATTAACTGTGTTTTGTTTACATGGCATAGCACGAAAAAAATTGTCCTCTTCCTATTTTTAATATTTCGATGAGGCTTTTGTAAAAAATGTTGAGCCTATCCTAAATTCAAATCGTTCCACCGCCTCTGTTCGCTGAGTTAACCTGAACAATAAAAAGAAATCCCAAATGATTTTCATTTCTAAATCTTTGATTTGTCACACATTCGAGTTCCCAGTCAGACAAAAATTTTGAAAAACGCGTTTAAACGCACAATCGGGAACCACGATTGTAAGCCATTAACGTTCATTAAAAAAACGCACGGAAACGCGTTTATTGGCGTTTTCTGTAACTTTCTGAGCGTCAAAACGGCGAAAATTCCAGTTTTTGAGCGTTAAAATGCACTGTTATTCTAGAACTTAAAAACAATACGTTTTAACGCTCAAAAACTGGAATTTTCGCCGTTTTGACGCCCAGAAAGTTACAAAACACGCCAATAAACGCGTTTTCATGCGTTTTTTTAATGAGCGTGAATGGATCACAGTCGCGGTTCCCGATTGTACGTTTAAACGCGTTTTTCAAAATTTTTGTTTGACTGGGTTCCAGTGTATTTTTTCAGTCGAACAGAAGATTTCATCATTGATTTATCTTGAAAAGTAATTTTCCATTTTTGGCTTGAGTTTTTTACATTACTAAAAGTCTTTTTAAAACTAACTGATTATAAAACATGGCTATAACTCTTCACTTATAGGTGATAAGGTCCTGTTCTCTTAAATTTTTGGTAGCCTGGCAAGAACCTATTCGTGACCATAAATATGAAAAATGAATTATGTTCGATAGAAGCACTTAAAATATCAAATATTTCGTTTTTCTGTATTTGAAAGTGTCTAGCGAAGAGTAACGAGAAGAATAGAATGGTGTCAAGTTGACAATGTCTTAATAGTTCTGTCGAATAATCTATATCAAAAGAAAAGATAGATCGTCGGTCCTCGATTTTGTCAAGTCTTTGACAAAAAAAATGAGATGAGATTATCAAGAAGAAAAATTTACATAGCAGAAGAGAATTTCTTCACAAGTCTGTTGTGTAACTACGACGGATCTGGACAGTTGCTCACGAATCATGTGTCTACTTAATGGCATTGAGTAGCAGCGTTCTCCACCGGTTGTTTTAAAACCTGATAAGTTCGCCACCATGCACATCAACTTCAGTGATTATCTCCCACAGCTGGTTCGATTTGGTACGTATTTTGGTCCTACAGTGTGCGATACATCCTCTGAATCGACAGTACAGAGGAGTCGTCCAAACTATTCTGCCTAGAGGAGGACTTGTCGAATTCCGATATCGGACACCAGAAAGGACTCTAATTAAGGGCGGAATAAATGGCTGAAGAAAGGTGAAGAGAAGACTTTCACCCACTCACCCACTCACCCCCATCTTTATCTTTATAGCAGATCGTGAACCATCAAAGCGAATAAAACGAATTTTTGGGCAAACGACTTTATGATCTGGTGCAAAATTCATATACAGACTTCAGGGATTAACTAAAATACATCAGACATTTCTTGCCTATATAGAAATGTTTCAGTTCTCACCTATTTTTTGTTTTCCGTTGCTCTGCTTAGCCATTATTTTTGTGACTTATTCATACATCCACATCGAAGTAATTTTGCAAGCTAGTTTCCAGCGAGCAACTGTCCTAAACTCAACTACGGTCATCTGGGAGAATTCGGATTAATCGAGCTATTTTAGCTGGACAATGTTTTTCTATTGACTCGAATAATAGAGAAAACTTCTCTCTTTTGACATATCCCCACAGTTTTCGAAAATTCTTTCAGATCATTTCTGTCATCCGAATAAATAGAAAAACATTTAATTGATCACATCCAATTTGACATTAGTTTTCATGTCGAAATAGAGATAAACAAAGGACGATGGCGCATAAGAAGGCATTTTGACTCCTTTTGATTTTCATTAATAAAATTAATTCAATCATCTGTAAATCGATAGATTATTGCCTCCTCATCATTTTGACGCTAAATTCAAGGTATTTCCATAAGACTCTAAATGTCATGAGGATCTGTCATTCATTACACGATAAAGCATTTATCAATTATCAGTTAGTCAACAATACTCTATAACTATATGACTACAATTATATCCCTGTTTTTCCATAAAAACAAATATGTCCAAAATTCTCTTATGTACTATTCGATAGAACTTTTCAAGCTCTACAAAATTAGTTAGTTTTAAAGATAAAAAAGATGAACCTATAAGGCAAAAATGTCAAACATTAAGTTTGGTATCTATGGAAAAAGAGATTTTTGCGTTTTTTTCTCAATACATATAGGAAAATATACGTCTTTGATGAATAATTTCTTTTCTATATTAATTAATGAATTAATTAGCCATGTTGAGTGCTTCCTTCGGATGTTTATAAATCAGTTTGAAACATAAAATATCATCATTTTCGACTTATCATTCTCTAAGAAATGATTAGATGGACGTAGATTGATAGTCATATGTTAGATTGTAGTACTTTATTGAAATCAAATTGGGAGAAGATATTTACCTACTACTCAAGTAATTTATCGAGTTTCTGATAGTTCCAAGTAGCTTTTGTTTTGAATGAACCTTTTAATGAGCATAATGAAGTGAATGACTTAAATACGATAATAAAAACACTACTAGAGGAGCAGTGAACATGTTTATCCAAGTGAACAAAAAATAAGAGAAAACGTCCAACATGAATAGTTGAAAATGTTTACACTATCTCATCGTTCATTTCTTCCATCCATTGTATTTTGATCGAACGTGTTGTATATAAAATGGGTAGCTGTGATTTAAAAGAGAAACGGCGTACTCCCGTACGCCTCGACTAGATTGGAATAGGGCAGGAGTGGAGGGAGTACACGGAGTGTCATGGGAATACGTCAAGTGCAACAGATACGGTTAGCTTCTTCGATTTAGAGCTATATTTTTCTCGGATATAAAACTGTACTTTCATTGTACTCCCGTACTTCTTGTACCCTTTGAAGCACAGTGTACGTCGTTTCCCTGCTGTGACTCGTTTACGTTGTTCGATTGACACAAAAATTTCTTAGAAGACTTGGGCGTAAAAAGCATATTCTTGGACTTCAAATACTTCAATGGAAAGTAAGATATTTTGGAAGATTTATGTACAGCATATTGATTACAGTTTCAAAAATTCTCCTCAAGATACGCAACTTGTTTTCAAAATATACACACAAAAATAGCTTTATCACAACGCTGATATGCAACTAACCACTAATGGTATCGAATATACTAAGAGAGTACATTATTGACTAGTTCGTATTCAAAAAGATTTGCCTGATCATACAGTTACAAGGAAAAGAAACACTCATCTAGAAATTAACGTCAGTCATATATTCTCGATAATCATAAGGAAAGAAATGTACTCCGGACCGAGAAACATCTTAGAGAATGATAAGTCAAAAATGATGATATTTTATGTTCCAAACTGATTTATAAAAATCCGAAGGAAGTACTCTACATGGCTAATTAATTCATTAATTAATATAGAAAAGAAATTATTCATCAAAGACGTATATTTTCCTATATGTGTTGAAAAAAAAACGCAAAAATCTCTTTTTCCATAGATACCGAACTTAATGTTTGACATTTTTGCTTTATAGGTTCATCTTTTTTTTATCTTTAAAACTAACTAATTTTGTAGAGCTTGAAAAGTTCTATCGAATAGTAAATAAGAGAATTTTGGACATATTTGTTTTTATGGAAAAACAGGCATATAATTGTAATCATATAGTTATAGAGTGTTGTTGACTAACTGATAATTGATAAATGCTTTATCATGTAATGAATGACAGATCCTCATGACAGTTAGAGTCTTATGGAAATACATTGAATTTAGCGTCAAAATGATGAGGAGGCAATAATCTATCGATTTACAGATGATTGAATTAATTTTATTAATGAAAATCAAAAGGGGCCAAAATGCCTTCTTATGTGCCCTCGTCCTCTCTCCGAAAACAACTATTTGCAATTGTATTGTAAATGCAGTAGAACATTTATAAGTGGTCTGTAGTTGAGTTACTCTAGGTCATTGTACTTAGTCTTTGTTTTAAACGATTTAAAACGCGTTAAGCTCCTAATTATTGCCGAAAAAGTTTCATTAAAATACGCTTTGCTATGTCTACATTGTCTGGAGAAATCTATCAGTTTTTTCCTAGCAAATAAAACTAAAAAGTTAAACCTTGATAATACGTACGAGAATATTCGTCACATCGTGTACCAGCGAACGGATATTGACATTGGCAAGTCAACTTCCCTCCGTCCACATAACAAACTCCTTTACCATTACATAAAGTCGGGACATAACTGCACGGATCGTTGCGTAGAATGGTTCTATTGATTTTTTTGAATTGTACTGGATCATTTTGGACGACCTTTCGAACAATATCACAACGTTCTCCTTCCCATTCAGGTAAACAATAACATGTTGGGTTGTTGTTATTCATCAAGCAAACTGCATCATTGAAACAATAATTGAGACACTGTTCTGTATTAATACCTGATGGATATCCGTTTACTAATGATATGAGTAAGAATATACCACCAATACTAAGATAACTAAATCGGTAGAACATCCTTCGCTTTATTTCCGATCCAAGTATTTTGAAATTTGTCGATGTTCTTTTTATATATTGATTTATGTACAAAAGATTATTCATATTTGTAAATCTTTGAAGAATGCACTAAAAAATCTTTAAGAAATGCAAGCAAAATAAAAAGAAAGATTATACCTTTGAGACCTGTCTTATTTCTTGACAAAGTATTAACAAAATTTGTTTTTAACTAAAGAGATTTATCCAAAATAAACTGAATATTGATCATTAATCTGTAAATCATTCAAATCTCAATGAAATATTTGTTTTGGTCTTAGAATCTTTATTCTCGTTTTCAAAAAACATTATTATGTCCTTGCCAATTCAAAAGAAGAATATCTTTATTATTCATTTCTTAACATTTCTATCCGATCTCCCAACAGGCCATTTTTCCAGCCTGACTTGTCATCACCCTGGGTGTCTGCAGACCAGGGTGTGAGTGTGGTGTGGGTGCTATTGTAATCGTGTATTCTATCATCTGCTCCCACCCACACCCTCAATAGATACACATTAGCCAGGGTTTTCAAATTCAACATTTATCAAATAAGTTCATTGAGCTTTTATTCTTTAATTCGCACTTTCACTAGTAGTACCTTTCCTTTATGTTTGAATATTTTGCCCATTTACTATTGTTGTTAAATCAAATTCTCTTTCATCTTTTCTTGCTTTTCGAAACCATAAGCATTTAACTAATTCTTGTCGATAAATATGAGATGACATTGTAAAAATATAAAAACTTGTTATATAACTAAGAAATAATGATATAGTAAAAAGTTGATTGATAAATCTAAATAAATCTGTACTTGTATCGATTAAAAAAGCCAATAAATTAAGAATAGCAAATGGTAGAATATAAAGAACTTGTGTCACAATTTGTGAAAATAGCATTCGAATAAAATGACGATAAAGACAATGAGAACCATCATTACCAATTGCTGATATAAGTTGAATTCGATGTGATTGTTGACGAATATTAATTAGAATAAGTATACATAATACAGTCATGCAAAAATATGGCAAGATACAATAAACTATTCAATAAAATAACTCATAAAGACCTAATCGAGTATTATAGGTAGCAGAAGAACCTATTCTAATTATTTCAAAGAATATTGTCATATGAAAATATAAAATACATGCCAAAATAATTGCTACAATAATCAATCGTTTTGTTACTTTTTTATTAGAGAATGATCGATGTGTTACTAATGTTGAACTTGAACAATATCAATCAAAACAAGCCAATATATAGAAATATGATGATAAAACAAAAAATACATAACGAAAATAAAACTGTAATTTACATATAACATTCGATGTTATTGTTATATCAATAGAAAACCCATTGGCAACTAGACGAGTTCATAATGATGTGTAAATAACAAGAATATTGTTAATTGAAGTTCCAATAAGATATAATATACATGATGATGATGAAAGTGTCGGACATGTAAAGATAAATGAAATGGGAGCATTATCAATTGTTCTCACAACAATAAATACTATTAATACAACTCGTAAAATTTGCAAAGAAATTTCTACCAACATTACTTTTGTTTTATGCCAATAAAAAATGAATAATTCTTCTGACATCTATTTCAAAAATAAAATAAGACAAAAAAAAATAACGAGAATAATAAGATCGGCTTTTAATAAATAAAAGGAGAAGTGGCGACGAGACTGTTTTTCATTTCCTATTATTTTTGTGTAAAAGCTACTTAGATATAGCAAGTTAACCATGGACAACATTTTATATAACTCACCGTTGTGAAACCCGTCTCACCACTCGATGCGGAATTTCACGATAATTACGAATATCACCTACATATACCAAAAGAAATGAAGTCTTGCTTGAGTAAATTAACTATTCTAGGTAGGCTTACATTCTGAGAGATATTTAGTTTTGATCGTCATTTTCTGCAGAAGTTTCCAAGATATTCTAAAGCTATTTCTCATTGGATTTTGATGTAGTATATGATCAATTAATAAGAAAACTTCTTTCTTTTCGATGTACGCAAGTAACAATTTCTGGCATATGACCTTCCAATGTTGCAAGAGTTTTTTAATATCTTCAACTTCAAAAGATTGACTTGGGAAGACTCAAAAAAAACTCAAGACAGGAGTACTCCACCATGCTGACTCGAATGACGATATTTGTTTCCAGTTTCAAAGGAACTCGAGACTACTATATCAGTATTTTTGAAATTTCAAAAATCTAAGATCAGTTTGCTAAAATCGAAGCTCTCGGGAAAACCTTGGTGACTGTGCAACGGAACAAACTGGAAAGTCGGGGCTTTAAATGAAGCATTTTTTCGACACGTTTTTTAAATTTATGCTTTCTCAAGAAAAATATGTTTTATCAAAATAAAATTTCCTTCTGCACAAACACATAATTTGTCGAACCAAAAATAATCTCAAAGGTGATAAAAATTTTCAAAGAAAACGAATGAAGATTTCTGCATAGAAAAAATTCTTGTAAATTGAAAATAAAAAAAAACAAATAAAAATCTTGAGTTTTCAAGTTGTTGCTAAACTCTCTTCAACTTAAAAAGTAAGTTTTATTGTTTTACTATAAAATCGATTCTAAGTAAGATCAAAAAATGTTTTTTTTTTTATTGCTTCATTAGCTATTCTATTTTTGGAATATTAATTTATCTTAATGATTCTTTTAATATATATGGTGAAGACAAAAAAAAAATATTTCTTATGAAAAAATCAACAATAAATTAAAATCTTTATTTTTATTAAAAAAATCATTTATTGCTTTGAAAAAAAAGAAAACTACCCAAGCATATAGGAATTTCTGAATACACATTTAAACACTCGAAATGCAGTTCTTGTTGAAACATTTTCACATCCATTTCGACAATACAAAAAGTAGCTAGTTGCACCATAAACGGTGCGTTAAGACACTTAAGAAGGCCACTTTTACATCTGAAAAACGTGCATAGGTTTTTCTGCACTATTTGACATGTTTTTCAGACAAAAAAGAACTTTTTTATGCATAATGTCTTCACACACCTTCTATCATGAAAATAGCTGGTTTTGATGTTTTCTCAATGGACATGAAGAAGTTCCAACTATATTTTGCTTATAGAGAGTAAATTAACATCTCAAATTGTGTTCATAGTTAAATGAAGTTTCGAATAACAATGTTGCGAATTGCCGAAGTATTAAAACTAGCAACAGTATATTTCAGACCTGTTTCTAATATAGATCGATAGTCAAAACTAAATGCCTCTCGGAATGTAAGCTTTGCGGGTAAAAGTTATTTTACTCGAGCAAAACTTCGTATCTTTTGAAATATGAAGGTGATGTTCGCGATCAGCGTGAAACTTCACATCGAATGATCTGCTTATTGCAATAACTAGTGACAAAAATTTGTCTATCAATTCCTAGAGTGGAAATGTTCAGTCGAAAAAGCCGGTCAGCAGGATTTTACAAAACTGAATCGTACAAAATGTTCTCCGTGATTGACTTGTTATGTCTAGATGACTTGTATGCAAACGTTTGAAAGCTAGTACAACCGACTTTAATACGGAAGTTGGCAGTTTTTACCAGTTAGATCCATCAGTAGTCAAAAAAAAGACACTAACTTATTCAAAAATCTGTCAATATATTTCATTTTATAGAGTTAGTTACATTGATCATTTGCATAAAAAGATATTTCTATTTTCATCAACAAATAATATTGCTAGAGTTAGATTATTGGAAAATGCCAAACTGCTCTGGAATTCTGGGGCAATTCCACGTTTCCAGTAATTGGATTCTAGCACCGTTATTTGTTAATCAAAATAGAAATTTTTTTTTGAAAGAGTGATCAGTGTAGAAAGCTCTATATAATGGGGGATTGAGCTGCGTGGCCGGATGTCCCAATGCTTTTTTTTTCATTCAATTTCTACAATATATCAAAAAAACCAATTTTTTACCAGTTATAGTATTCATATAATGCTGATGATTTGCCAAGAATAAAAGAGTTGTTTCTTGTTTGAAACCAAAATAATCAAGTACCTCCAAAAGTCTCTTGATATTTACAACCAAATTGTGTGAAGACACTTCATTATTTTAGTTTCAAACAAGAAATAATTCCCTGATCCTTGAAAGATCATCAGCAGTATACGACTACTATAGCTAGTAAAAAATCAGACTTTTCTGATATATTATAGAAATGGAATGATAAAAAAAAGTATTGAGACACCTGACCAGACTGGTCAACCCCATAATATTTAGAAGTCCAGTGTTCTTACTGTTTCTTTATAATTTTTATTAATTTTTAGCTCGATTGAAAAAGACTGTACCAAATAAATTGAAATAAACATTAAAAGATAGACTTGTTGTGCTCCTAATTCGCGCTTAATTCATTTTCAAAAAAATGCAAAATATATTTTATATTTATTTTATTTTTGAAGGACTTGAAGATACTTGTCATGCTTGAAAAGACTCAGAAACTGATCGAATATTTACAGTTGCTATTAGTTGTAATGATATAGCACGTCGAAGAAATTCTTTTTATAAAAAGCAACTAATCGAATCTGACAATGATCAACAATGGTTTTTCTTTAGAGCAAGATAAGTTTTTTTTTCTTTTTTCTTTTGCTAAATATATGTACAAGATGTTAAGGATATTTTTTGGGATATATTGAAATAAAATAAACTTAAGCTCGTAAAAGAGAGCTAACAGTCAGAAAGAAAAATTTTCAGAAATTACTAAATAAGTATTATTTACTTGAAATTGATTATAGACAATATGCTGATAATCATATTTGACAAAAATTGAAGTACTAATTTAAATATTCTTTAGAAATTCTCAAACTCAGTTCAAGATTTTGTTTACATGGTTTTTAATGTTGAAACTGTGAAACAAGTTTTATTACATTTGAAATTAATTTAATTATTGACATAATCATAGATTCTAATTGGGGACAAGCATTAAACATTTCGCGAAATAAAACTAATAAAAATCTGTATGTCTATCACGTTCATCTGTACAAACAACAGTTAGCTATTTCTTAGTTAGAACAATCTTTTACCGATTATTCATTGCTGTAAGAAGCCACAACGAAAAGAATGAATTTCGTTAACAATAACAATGTGACTTTTCTTAACAGGAGGAAAAGGAAAATGGCGCAAATAAATATAGAAAAACATAAGCAGAAAAAAGGAAACGAGAGAACATACGAACATATAAAATATGCGTAAACATATAGTCTACGTAGTGAAAATCAAATAAAATTCTATATAGATTACTAAGAAAATAAAGTGCACGTGCTATTGTTCGCCGATTCATATCCATTTGAAACATAAATACGTACTTATTCAAATAAGTCATATTTTTAAAATGGCATCAAATACAAATCTAGATCATTTACATCTACTTGTTGAGGTACTTTCATAGTCGAATTTTGCACGTTTGAAGTTGATTTATTACTTTTAGATCGACAAATTAATAAAGGAAAAAAAACAACTTGATGCAGATAAAGATGAATATCTGACACAAGCAAATCAAGCTATTATGGACGAAAATTATGATAATGCCATTGAGCTTTTACAAAAGGTTAAACAAGTACATATTGATCTTCGTGATACAATTAATGAATTGGATCAATAGAAGAAACAAGCTGGATTACAATGAAAATATATTCAGCATTCAGGGGTGGCGCGACCGGGGGGGGGGGGGGGGGGGGGGGCCCCCCCCCCCCCCCAATCTTCAAAAATTTCTGGTTTTTTGCTCAACAAAATCACGAAATTTTCTTCCATTTGTCACCAAAAATAATGTTACACTCCCCCCCCCCCCATGTTGGTTGACTCGCGCTACCCCTGTCAGCATTAAAAATAATCGATGAACTGATTCTAAACCATAATTGTTTTTTTTATCGATTATTTTATAACAAGAATAAAATTTTATAATAAGTATGTTGATCGAGAATCGATTGACTGGGGTCTAGAATGGCGGGATAAAAAATATGCATATATTCCATCTAGGTATAAAAATAGTCTTTAAAAAGTACTAAATAAATGCGCGATATCATTTTTTATGAACAATAATTCATTTCATAAAAAACAATTTGTTCGTAATATAAAGGTTGGATTTTATATTTATAAACAAAATTCGATTTTGAATATGCAACGCGTATCTAGCTAAGTTAAGTTTATATGTGCTAGGCTATTGATCCTTCTGCAGAAATTTTATCAAAATTTTTCGATAGCTACACTATTGTAACGATGTTCCTTTTTTCTCGTTCATACCATTCTTAATATTTTATATTCAATTTTTAATGATAATTCAGTGTAGTAAATAACTATAACGATTTATTATCAATCTCGATGAACTCAGAAACTCCGACATTGATTATTCCCGAAAGTCAGATCTTTATCAATTCATACTTTGGTGTTGGTCATATGACATTTATGGGAAATCAAAAACTGCATTATTTAGAATAATGAAAAATATATTCCAATCATTAATGTCGTTCAACATCTTTGATCCAGGTTGCTAAGATCTGTAATAGGAAGGGAGAGGGAGCCATGAAACTTCAACTTAAAACTTATACTCACTATTTTCTTCGAAAATATATGTGAATTTCACAAAATACAACGAAACTCAAGACTTCTAACTCTGAAATTTTGCACATAATCCTAAACATTGCACTACAATAGTCGCACTAAAATTAACTTTCAGAAGAGCCAGACGAAAATACTTTTGGCGTACCCTCCTATGTATATACAGTTCGAAAGAAGAAAAGGTTTTCTATCTTCTGATAAAAAAAACTTCTCTTTCAAATACCCTTCTATCGAAGAGTACTAGTGGTAGTATCCTGTGGAAACAATTTTTTTCCGTCACGTTTTCTGCGGGAATCGAGAACGAGAATGATATTAAAAATGGACATTCCCGAAAATCATTTTGTTTTGTTTTATGTATGTACTCTTCGAACTTTGTTCTAAACAAGAGTCAAAGTCAATACGATGTTACATTGCTCCAAAGACTTCTACATTCCTTATTAATTAAAAAACAAATTAAAAAAATGTGTCAGTACGACCCCGCGAGATCAAAATGTGGAACTCACCAACTCTGATTGTTATAAATTCATGATATATTTTTTTCAGAAGTTTTAAAATAATTTATTTTAAAAGAATGAAGAATAAATGAATATATCAAAATTATAACAATTTTTATTGTTGATAGGCGCGCTTCGAAATTTTATTATTTCGAAAATGTTTGCATTTATAATTACTTTTCTAGCAACCTGTTGAAAAAAGTTATCTGTATTGTCAAATATATTGTCAATTCATAACTTCTTTTCTCCTAATGATACTATATCTACGACACATGATTTTACTCTTCATTTGGTCAATTCAACTACCATACTAGTCTGCTATACACATCGATTTAATCGTGCAGTAAGCTACCACATACAACACTCTTTCTTTCAACGAACTTAGACATATACTGTTGAGTTTTGCCTAAATTCATAATTCATCACTGCATTAAAAATCCAAACCTTCAATATCCATACTAATTAGAATCTACAGAGTTCCACAATGATCTAAGCATTGTTATTACTTAAGCGCCTTTTCTCACTGCTAGGGAAACTTATCCAATAATTTTTGGCGCCCTTGCCGTTAGTATGGAAACATATATGATAGTCTTTGGTTTCCCGCTACCTGATTACTAGGATGTGATGAGATCCACAAAACTTCGACTTAATATTCATTATAAAGGAGTCTTTGTCAGATTATCTCACAATCTAGTGTTATCGTTACTTTCTTCTCTTGAATAGTAATTGATTTATTTTAGTAAAATATATTTTCAACAATACTTTTATTTTTAATTGAAGATCAACTCAATGTTGGACAAAGTGCGACGTTGACAGAAGCTAATGTCTCGTAATGATAGTTTTTCGCAAACATGAAAAACTAAATAGTAATAGGAAACCATCGACATATATGTCAAACGAATATCATTCACACTTTGACTCCAACGTAATAGAAAAGTGTTCGGTTCCGGCCAGAAAAAATAGTGTACTAGCGAAAGATGTTACATCATTTTCTGACAGTGTCAATGTGTTCAACCTTTAATATTCTCCCTCTTGGAGATTGGTTACTTTTTTTAACGCACTAATACTTCGTCTATTCTGTTCTTTGCGAAAAAAAAGAATTAATTTTACTATCAAAATTGTAGCAGCAAATATTGAAGTAATCGTTATTCAATAATTTTTTGGATAAACTTTTAAAATACATGAGTCATGAGAATATAACATTTGACGAAAGTATTATACAACTATAAAAGATATCACTCCCAATTAAAAAAAAAGTACTAATCCTAGTCCCAAGGCCATGTTGCCCTTTATCCACGCACAAGTCAATTGGTATTCATTTATTTTTCATCTTATTATGATGATTCATTCAGTTACCTAAGCAAGAACAATTGAATATCACTATATACACAACAATAAAATATGGATTACAATGGTTGTATTTGTATATTGTTTACCTTACTTAAGACACATCTATTGGTTTACGTGACATTTTGATAACAATACTAAGTCGCTTATTAAAGTAAGGATTTATATTGTCATCATTTTCATTCAGTATATCCTTATCCCATATAGCCTATTGATATATAACAACGACGCACATGCTTATCTAAATATAATCTTTAACAAAAAAAAAACACAACGATAAAGCTATTTCTCATATTTATTCACGTTTTATTTGAACTTCTACATTCGGCATAGATTACTCAAAAAGGTTCTATTGAAAAAAAGCATTGCCATCTGTTGTTTTTTTTCCTTTTTCAGAGTTAATACCATGGCCATAGATCTAAATTGTCTTAGTATTCATCCTTCATTACCAACAATACCAAGAATTGTTAATAATTTGAATACAATTGTTCATCCAACTTATAAACCAAATAGTGGTAGTATATATCAAATGATATCAGCTGCAATGGCACGTTCAACATTTTCTATAAATGATGTTCGATCTTTATTAAAAAAATTATTTAATAAAGATTTTAATTCATGGAATTTTTCTGAAATAATAAAAACAAAACCAATACCATCGGTTATTATTTATACCAGTATAGCTCTTGTTTTATTTTTAATCTTTTCAATTATGTTTTGTATTATTTCATGTTGTCATTTTAAAAAATATCAAGTTAGAATTTAATTTATGTAAAATTAAAATTATGATTTTATTTTTTTCTGTATTTAAAGAGAAAAAAAAGACAACAATCAAAAATGCCATATATTTCTCTATGTTTATTAATAATTATTTATTTACTTGGAATTGGTGATATGATTTATGTTGCTTATCGAATAAATCAAACGGAACATTCTATTGATAATACAATTAAAGAAATTAATCGAGATATTTATCCAAAAGAAATATCTGAACATATTAAATATTTAAATAAACAACTCAAAAATCTTGATCAGTATTTTATACAAAGTGAATTGAATTAATTATAAATTTTAATTTATTCTATTTGTTTTTTTTCTGTTTTAAAGCAAATTCAATTTTAATTAATGCATCAAAATCAATGTTAGTCAATGCATTTGATAGAATATTAAAAGAAAAATATTTTCTTCAAGATATTATTCAATCTATAAATAATATTGATAAATATATTCAAGAATTACAAGATATAATAAATAAAGAATCAATATTATCTCCGTTAGTTATACAAATATTTCAAGAAATTCAAGAACAATATCAAAATACAATTGATTATTTACAAATACCATTAAAAGAAATTTGTAATTATGCTAATGGAACACAAACAAATATTGATATGAAATTATTAAATGTATTAAATCTTGTTCATGAAAAATTATTAAAAGCAATTAATTCAATTAATAATGATATTCTAAGTCAAATAACACCATGGCAAAATTATATGTTAATAAATATAGAACTTGAAGAACGAATTCGAAGATATATTAGTCTTGTTGGAATTATTTTTCTCGTATTAGTAATAGTTCTCGGTATGATTCCTGTGGTTTTTTTTAATTTCATAATTATATATCGTTTATGTAATCAAAATAAAAATGAATATACTGGAAATGATCCGTTAGTAATTTCTATTTATTTGTTTTCGATATCAGATAATTCTTTTTTCGTAATAGTAATCGAATACAAATGAATGATATAATGGTAGGGTCGGATATATCTTCTATGAATGGTTATCCTAACAATCAAAGCTATTATCAAACTAAGACAATTAATAAAAATATATCGTAAGTGTTCGAATAAAATTTTTTCTTTTTAGTTTTACTTTCTGTTTTGTGAAACACGATCTAAAAGGCGTGTTAAAGTATATAGACTAGAAATTCATACCTTCGACAGGCATAATCATAGAAACGTCACAAACATCTTAGTAACGAATTATTACAGTCATGACAGATGTTGTTCATATATAATGTTTTTTGTTATAATATATAAACTATTTTTTTTTATTGTATTTCTGAAGGATTTAGTAAAAGGATGATGAAGAAATGCGTCCTAAAAAATCTTCTTGGAAATAGTAACAGCACTGTTTTTTTTCAGTACAAATCATCATCGACAACGAAATAAAGTGGAAAGAATGAGTTCAAATAATGGTTCATCTGGTATATTACTTTGTTTGATACATATTGCATTTGTTATTATGATTATTATACTTGTTATTATGGTTCTGCTAACTGGTGTTTATTATGCTCTTGATCTTGTTGTCCAAGGTGCTTGTCGAACAGTTCATGATGATCAACCTTTTCTGATTAATTTCATTATCGGTAAATATATATATATATTTATTTATTTATTTATTTGTATAAAATTTGAATTTTTTGGTTTTGAATTGTGTAGATAGATTAATAAAATCGAATATTATGCCGTATTATAGTTCTGAAATCAATAGAACAGTAACTGATGTAATTAGTGATTGTCGTAATCATATACATTTTAGTAAGAAAATTTTTGAAAATTATTGGTCTGTGTTAGATGGTAATGTTGAGAATATGATGAATACATTAAGTGAACAAATATTTAATCAATTTATTAAATCTATTGGACAAATTAATATTCCGTTAGATATTAATTTAATCATACAATTAATTAATCAAGCAAATCGATCAGATGTTTCAGTTATAGCTAAAGAAATTAATAAAAATTTAATTACAATGAACAATTTATTTAAAAATATCAGTAATTCAAATTCAATATTATCACCGAATCTTATACAATCGGCTATTAGTCAGGTTTGGTTATAGATAGTCACATATATGAACTAGTTTTAAAAATTTTCTTTTGTTTTAGTTTGAAAATTATGTAAAGCAAGTACTTGAATCAACTCTTGATGGATGTCCTTTACCGTTAGCTACGATTTATAAAACAGATACATTAGTGTGTCATACATTGGGTAGTTCATTAAGTGGTCTGTGGTTGAGTGTTTTCTTCTTCATGTTTATCGTTATAATTGGTTTTTGTATTTTTGGTATTTATGTCTATAAACGATTGAATTAATCATCTAGACCTATACCTACCGACAATAATAATTATTTTAATTTTTAAATGCATGATTAATATTATATTTTGATTTTAATAATAAATATATTTCTATACAGAGTCACATTGTGTGAAAATATATTTGAAAAAACTGATTAAATTTTTGTTCATTGTTAAAAGAAGAAACACGATTAAACAAGATGGTATTCTTCCGAATCGAGCCGCTTTTTGACGGTTCGACTCGACTAGTATCGAACCCAGAATTGCTTATGCCTGCTCGTTCCAGCTCAGAATGACAATACTAAAAAAATACATTTATTTTACAAAAAAGATTTCCACAATCACTGCAATTATTTATTAAAAGATTAATTAGACAAGTCGTTCAAATAATTTTCTTTCTATTGTCCGTTATAATATATCATTTTATTGTATTATATAACTTCAATCAATTTTTGTATATGTAAGTACATAAATATTCTACATAGAGTATTAAACATAAAATTACTCAAATACTTATGCTAACAAGTCGCACTGATTTGCCGAGTATCTTCACTAAGGCTGATTGTAATACTCAAACATGATGTCTCATGGTCTAATAAAACAAAATCGATAAAAAGTATGCTTTTACACATTAAAAACTAATCATAAAAATATGTTATTTTTAGCTCTCTTCTACCTGGAAAGTTATTGTTTTTACTAGAATTTAAACAACAGTCAATATATATTTGTCTTAACAATAAATTATTTCTTCATATCAGAGATTATTTACTTTAGGTCACAATTATGCAAAAATTGAACATTCACGGATATATCCTATGTAAACATAAATCGATCCAATTTTTTCGAATTTATTCTAATACAATAATTTTAATTTTGTTATTTTACTATTATCCTATCTAAAAATTTGGTTAACAATTAGCTGCTAATATCTATATTCGATGTTTTGTAATAGTCATTTAGAAAAAGAAAAGATAAGAACTAACCACATATTATCAATGATTCATCTTTCAAAAATGCACACATTATCTCAAAACAATATTGCTTTAAAGAGTAATGATCGTTGAAACTAATAAGTTTGCCTGATAGTTTTCCTTTTCTATGTTTTAATTAACATGAACAAAGTATCTTAAATAAATGCAGAGTATGATTATTTTTCATCAAATTGTTTAGAATAAATATTTTTGGAATAAACATGTATAATTTATTAGATGCTTAAATCAATTGAACTTAGAGATTCGATACTAATGAAAAAAGTTTTCTATTCAATATTGAACTCTGACTAAAATTGTTATAGTTCCGCTTATTTGACCTTAATGTCATCATAAATAGATATATGAATGTGTGTGTGTTAATTTTTTTTCTTCGTTCTTGTTACAAAATTATGAATAGTACGTTGCATAACACTTATTCACCATGTGCTTATCCACCAACCTTGAATGCAATCAGCGTTATTGTATTTATTGGCTAATCAAAAAAAAACAGGTTTTTGTTTTTTTGTTTGCTCATTCGTTATTAAGGGATATATAACTAGGTGATTCTTATTTTTTGTATAACTATTAAGTATGACACGTAAACATCGATAATAGAATGGCGTTTTTTAGTAATATGTTCAATCACAATGATAGTAGACAAGATCATGAAGCTATTTACGAACAACAGCCTCATCATCATTTATCATGGACACATGAACTTATTGCCCGTGCAGCTGGTTTCGCAGGTAAATATTCACATTATTTTCATTTTGATTGAAGCTAATTAACATCTTTTTGCTATACTATATTATTTTTGAAATTTCTAACGATAAGTCGAGATATAAAATACTAAATCATTCATCGATTTTTAAGTAATTATGATTAAAACAAAGAGAAAATAAAATTTTCTATATCATGAACACATTTTTCACGTAAGTTGATTACAGTTAAATTTATTTATTTAGCTATGAAAACCTATGAAGATAATGTTCGTAATACTGGTGAACAAGTATCATATCCATTGATGAAAGAAATGCTTGCTGATATAGCGGCAGCCGAAATTGATAAACTTTTTGAAACACAAGCACTTGGCTTTCTTGATCGAGAACAGGCAAAACGTCGTGCTATTCAGCAAGCACATCAATTTGCTTATGAAAAATATAGACCGGGTGGCATATTTAATGTGCAAGAAGGTCAATATGAAGGACACTATCACCATCATCATCATCACTGTGAAGAATAAATCACTTTGAATTTTTATCATTTTATGTTTCTAATGATAATTTATAATCGAAAATAAAGAAAAAGTCTTCTATTTCAACTTGAATCATACTTGATCGTTCTATATATTCTTCTATGCCGCTTATCAATTGGGATCATTGTCAAATGTATGTCATTCAAACTGAATATTGAAGAAAAAATTAAGAAAACCTATAAAAAAAAAGAACTGATTTGTGCAAGAGTGACGTATAGAATCACTCTGTTCACATTTTAAAAAAAAGAGACTTTATTATTGAAAGTAGAAAGAATTTTGAGAAAACAGCTTCAACACTTCGCTTATAATTATAATTTAATAGCACATGATTATTATTTTTTTTCTTCTATTACGTGCGACAATCTGATAGTAATCACATGATAACCCATAACAACAATAAAGAATCTTCACACAACGCATTTTGCGAACACTATTTCTTGGATGTTTCTGTATTATTCCATGTCGCCACTTTTTTAACAACTGTGTCGCAGTTACGCGTAGCTGCGCCGCAATTTTCCGCAATTACGGGTCACAGTGTGATCGCAGTTACGCGTAACTGCGTCGCAATTTGATCACATTCGAACACATGGGACGTTTTTACAGATAGAAAAAAACAGTGTACGATTAAAAAGAGCCAATTTATCAAGGAAAAATATAAATGCTCACTGATATTTCTTTTCTTTATTATCAAATACATGTCATGGTACTTTACTGAGATGAAAAACAGAACATCAGCATACAACAATCAATATCTTTGTTTATATTCTTTAAAAAAAAATGAACAATACTTTAACGTAAATGCTAAAATTATTTGCCTTCTATGTTCATACACATCTGACAACGATCAGCTACAGAACAACAGGCTACTTGCCATAATTCGATATTATCATTGAACTATGTAAATTCTTGTTTATATAAGTTCTTAAATAAGAATAGAAAAGATACATGAATGAACGACACGCGGGAATCAAAAGAATATTTTGATTATTGTATAGTTTATCTTGATCAATTGGCTCTTTTTCATCGTACATTGTTTTTTTCTATCTGTAACAACGTACAAGTTTTTTTTGTTGAGGTCAGTAGTAGTACTTAATAAAGGGTCTCTCTAAGCATTTCTTTATGGATATAAACTTTGAACATGCCTCTATCATTCTTAAAAAAATCAGCTCGTTTGGTAGAAGTCGTAATGGAAATATTCAATTTTTTTTTCGGTAAGCTGACTTTTTGGCCACCCCGTACTTACGTATGAAAAATATTGAAAAGGTAATTTTGAAAATTTATGTATTCAGTCTTATCAATATATTTTACTACAAGTTAAAGCTATAGAGCTGAAACTTTCAAAAATAAAAGATCATGATGATATATATATTATAAAAATTTCAGCCACTTAGGTCAAGTGGAAGTATGAAAAATATGAATAAGAAATTATTCTCAGTTATTATGGAACACCCTTTACATCATAGGATTCAGTCAATATTTAGATGTGAAAGCTACTAGATACTCGCTTTAATACAATATTTCATGCGTAGATCGTTTCTATGCTCGATTCTTTCTCGATTAAAACATTGCAGTTAAGGCAAGTCTCTTGATACTCACAATCTTGTATGATCCAAAAGTGATTCTAAGAAAGTTGACAATTAGTTCTATGAAAGAAAAAATATTTCGCAGAAAAGAGCAGCTCGAAGTTTTTGAAACTATGATGTTTCCATGTATTTTTTCACATAGAATCGATTTTACTGAAAAGTGTATCTTTCATTTTACTTATTATTATTAATTCAAAAAGTATATTATTTTGAAAACGTCCTAAGAATTGTTCTGCTTAAAGATGAGATCATTTGTGGACTAGAGTGTTTTTGACAACTAATTTGGCCCAATATCTATTGTATCCTGTATCGGTTGAACAGCATTCGTGTTGTTGATATGTGTTGTTAACATTCGCATTTGTATTATCTTAATATTTCTCGTTTGGGTATGTGATACATGTATTTGAGCTCTTCGACATGCTTTATGTATCATATTGTTGAAAGCTCGTTTAAGTTCATTTCGAAAACTATTTGTAATTAGATACAACAGTGGAGATATGGTCACTTGAATAAATTGGCAATATACTGCAATAAAATATACAAACTGATCGATTGCTAGTTGATTTGATGTTTTTACATTGGATTTTGTAATTTGTCCATAGATATGATACATTGACGTAGGAAAACGAAGGAAAAAGTATATACTTAACTGAAGTATTAGAATAGCAATAAGATGTCGATCTTTTGAATGCATATGTTGTCTACGAACTCGTTTAATGTTTATCAACATTTGAGTTCCAAATCCAATCATCAATAAAAGCGGAATTATTGAATTAATGACAGAATAGTACGAGACAAAAGTGCTAGGACTGCCTGGTCTAGTAGTACAAACGAGCCGAACGCCATTTATAAGTTGAATTTCAGAAAAGAAGATGGCATACAAGTGAAAGAAAATCCAAAAGAAGCTAAAAAATCCAGTCATCAGTAAAGCAAAGCGTCGGTTACTGCGTAAACGGGTTTGTGCATTAGATGATGAAATAAGCGTTCGATCGAGACAAGCCATAGCCAGAAGATATGATGGAATGGCTGATGTAACCGAACTAATGTAGAGTCTTATACGACAAAAAACGTCAGATCGAACAGATAGATCCATTCCAAAACTGCTAAGTAGATTAGGAACAAGATTAACATCGATAAAAATTAAATTTGTTAGCATGTATCCAATAAAGAAAATAATGCATGGATTGTTCTTCAGTGGTTTTTGAAAAAATGCAAAAAGACCCAGTACAGTGCTGACATTGCCAATGGCGATGAATATCGGCAGTCCAATACGAAGCATCTGAGTTTGTATATTGGCTAGTGAAGCTGTTGTCATTTGTGCATGTTAAGAAAATGACTGTTAAGCAGCGGCTGATGATGCATCACTTCATATATAGATCTACACATTAGATATCGAAATTAATTCATAAACAGATCACTTTCTTTTCTGGAGAAAATGGAAACGAGCTCGAGAGAAATGAGAAAAGTGAGCTCGGAGTGGTTAATTAATAAGAAAAATGAGGAAAATGAGCTCGGTTTTTTCCGAGCTCAAAATAAGAGAAGTTAATCTCAGAAAAAAGTTCACTAACACTGAAGCAATGAAATTAGAGGAAAAGAGCTTCTTTTTTTTCTATATATGTGCACAGATGGTGATATAGACGAACGTATATGGTGAGTACAATGGATGAACAGGATAGAAAAAATGCTAGTGCATTGGTCGACGTATATCATACAACAACCTTTTCAAATACATATATCTATTGATGCTGATCTCGATTTAAAGGCTTCTGATTGGATTAATAAAGTTGATAGAACCGAAATATTACAACCAGATGCATTTACATAACATATGTAGTTCCTAAAAAAGAATCTCAAATGAATACTCATTCTTGGGTAAATTATTTGTATACAATGACCTGGTCATCCTATGATTATTTCAAGCAGTGGTTGGACTCTGCACGAATCTTCAATTATTCTAACATGTTACCTCCAACATTCTGTTCTTGTAAATTTGGTCTCAAACAATATTCTTGCAGCCATACAATAGGTCTTATGATGATTTGGAGAGTTCGAGCAATCTCACAGTTAACTGGAAAAAGTAATATGAAAGATCGAAGAAAAAAATCTAAACATGCGCTGTCGAAGAACTGATTTTGTATGTCGTAGTCTGAAGTATTTTATTATATATTAATAAATAATAAATTTGACATTAGTTATATGTCTGTTTGCCACACAAGATCCTGTTTATTCGTATGCACATAATTTTGCTTTTCTCTTCATCGTATCGAACTGAGCTCTTTTCCTCTAATTTCATTGCTTCAGTGCTAATGAGCTTTTTTCTGAGATTAATTCCTCTTATTTTGAGCTCGGAAAAAAACGAGCTCATTTTCCTTATTTTTCTTATTAATTAACCACTCCTAGCTTATTTTCCTAATTTTTTCCGAGCTCAATTCTTCTTCGTCCTACACTTCTTGGCTCATATGTCTGAAGCTAAATTAACTATCAAAAACGCTGTCTTAGTAACTTTGCTATCGTAAACAGATGAACTCGTAGATTCTCATGTAAACAGCAATCACATCAATTTTATAAAACATTATCCATCTTCTCTCATCTGTATATTGAAGTAACATGCGATATAAAAGTAACGGGACAAACGTTGGCCCTTCTTTCTCTTCAATAGAAGGGTGCTGAAAGAAATATTTTTTATCAAAAGATAGAGCCTTTTCTCCTCTTTTTAATTATATATAACTGATTTTTGTAACATGTTCATAAGTGAAATGACATAACAGAAAAGAAAAGTACCCTGAAAAAGAATCGCATAATATGTCGATCCTTATATTTCTTCGATATATAGGTTCTGAAAAGAATATTTTTTTTTATCAGTTGATACGAAATTTTCTTGTCTATCAAGCAGTGTATGATTCATATTTGCCATACATCGGTAAACGAAACGAGACGGAAAAAAAGAGAAACACTCGTACAATAAATTTGTAAATTTTATATGAATTCGTTAAACACATCTCGTAGACGACAGTTACTTATTATTAACTGTCGTTTTACAAGATATTTTTAAAGAGTTCATAAAAGTCGAAGTAACTACCGTTTTAAAAGGGCTTTTTAATGAGTACACAAAAATCGAATTTATTATTGTTTAACAAGCTTTTTTTTTGACTGGTTCATATAAAATTTCCCAATTTATGGCGCAAATATTTCTCTTTTCCTCTTCGTCTAGTTTCATTTACGAATGTATGACAAATATAAATCATACACCATTCGAAAGAGGAGAAAATTTCCCATTGGTCGATAAAAAAATTTCCTTTTTAAAACGTGTTTATTGAAGAGTTATTCAAGAAATATAGGAATCAACACTTGGCGCCGTTTTTCCAATTTCTATGAAAAGTGCGGATGTGTTTTGAGGGTGTGGGCGTAGCCGGGTGTGGGTGTGAGTGGGTGGGTGTGGGGTATGGGTGCGGGTGTGTGTGTAGCTGGGTGTGGGTGTGAGTGGGTGTTCAATTCGAGTATACACACACACACACCCACACCCACCCACCCACATTCACGCCCATCCACACCCACACCCACACCCCATACCTACCCCACACCCACATCCACACCCCACTCTAATTATAGTAATTTCTCCTTTATTATTGTTGCAAGCATTTTATTCATTATCAAAACAAGTAATTAAAAATGCATATGGTAAATGTGATTATGCATATAGAATTGATGAATATTCCTATCGACCCTAACGATTTTTCTATGAGTTTTTTTATTATAATCAAAATGTTAATATATACTGCAAATAAGGGGTGTGAGAGTGACGGCGACTGTTTCATATGCAAACTGTAGACGCTGTTAAAACGAAAAAGAAAATAGTTCCGATAGTTCCGGAACTGTTGAAAAGGTTCTAAAAGAAAGTTCCATAGCAAGCCCTCTAATATTGGCTAAAATTATATCCCATTATTTTGACAAATATTTATTGAATATGACATGCTTAGATTATTGATTGCGTGAAAACACTCTTTACTGAATCACATAAATCATATGAGATATTTATCACAGTTATCGTGACATAGAGTCGAGAACGCAAGAGAAAAATATACTGATTCGACCGATGACATAGTACTGCTAGGTAATAAAAGAGTAGAAAAACGAATAAATACATCACAGGTAAATAATTAAGTTTATTGGTAAGCGCTGCTAATATTCAATGCCAAATAGATCATAAAATACAATTCTTCTCTTTTCTTTTCGTATATAAAAAAAAGCATCTTTAAAGTAGCATGTAAATTATCCTGTAAAATATTGTCATTTTATTATTGAATAATATGATGAAGTTCTAACACAAACAATGTTTTAATCTCTTCCCTCGATACGGAATGTTCGCACGCCTTTCGCAGCCATCATGGAACCATCATCATTGTATGATAAATTACATTTGATTGCTTTCAGCTGTGGATACTGATCCAGATTGTCGATGATTTTTGTCAGCGCTGATTCAATCACTTTTGGTTCAAGCTTGCTTCCTCGCATGTTTGAATTCTTGAATTGGGCAGCAATAAATTGGACCGACCCACCACCACTTCTTCCAACCATCGTCCTATTGCTACCAAGAGTGAGCGAGTGATGTAAAGCATCGGCCACTTGTTGTAAATCTTCGGGCGCAAGTTGAGACATTGTCTCGGGATCATCAGGCAAACGAGAAAATTCACTCTTGTCAAATGCCAATGAGCCACTAGCCGCATTAAAATCAACCGTAAATTGGCAGAAACGGCGAAAATTGTCGTCGTCTTGATTAGACATGAAGAAATGTCGTCGTATTTTTCCCGATAGAATATCTATGATGAAATGGATATGTATGAGTCAATATTTTGAGACACAAAAAAAGAGAAGTGTGACTCATCAACAGAGCGTTTAACTTGGCTATTGAATTAGTATTATCGGGATTAGCCACTCTTACTTGTATTTTAACCATTTTTTCGAATGTTTTAAGTGAGAATAAATATCCGATCCAATACTGACCAATAAGTCATACTATTAACACGTGGAAATGTGAATGTGAGTGAATCAAAAGCTTGCAAAAGTAGAAGACTGATTTATATTCATTGTCGCTGTCGATTAATGTATTGTGCTTATGAACCGTCGTCAGAAAATGCAGGAAATCGAACGTGCTCAATCATTAATGTGATTTCGAACTCTTGATAAAGTCAAAAATCAGTCGTAAGCTGAAGAAACAAACAGTATCCCCATGAACTGATGATTGGAAAGTAAACTCGAATCAAAATATGGACAGTCGCTACTACAGTCAGACATATATAAGAATTTTCGAGATGTGATTTGTAAGGAATGTTATTCTTCACCTGATATTTTTCATATAAAAAAGAATCAACATACATGTAGAGCACACTAACGAGTGAAGAAAGAGAAAAGAATACGATATATACGATCTTTGTCTTTTTCTTCGCATGGTTGTAATTACATGTGAAGGAGCGTATGTAAATTTTTCTCGGTAGAAAAATATCACGTGTACAATAACATCGCTAAGAATCATATCTCTACTATGCTTTGCTATGACTCATTTATTGCTACACTGCGGAGGACAAAAAACGTTTAATAGGGTGAACAATGTCAATCTTAAATCGATATTTCCAGGCATTAAGGGGATCCCCGTTTCCCCACCCAAAATTTTCAATTTTTTCATTTTTGGTTCTTTTTAGCTCGACGTATGCCTCTAAGTGCCCTCTATCTGTTGGACACGTTTTGCGAACTCAAATAAAGCTTCAAAGCCAAAAAAAGTAATATTTTCCGTAAAAAATTTATATACAAAACTATAAAATATTTTTTTTTATTTTTCGGTTTCCTGGAGATCCGGTTTTTGCTTGAAAACCTTCAGAATCGCCCCCGCTTCTCAGAGACGGCTCAGTCAATCGAGCTGAAACTTTTTTTACAGATACTAGAAACCTTTTGGAGTGTCTACTTTTTTTGTTTTGAAAAATAATATTCTCTTGATTTTTTTTGCGGGTCTTACAAAAAAAGCTCTGGGTGAAAAAACATGGATTTTTTAGGGTGCTCTCGGTAATTTCGTCTTTTTACGCGAATGGAAAGAGATAGAAAGAAACGAAAAAAAGTAGGCATCCCAAAGGGTCTCTGGTATCTGTAAAATAAATTTCAGCCCTATCGGACGTACTGCGGCTGAGAAAGGGGGGCATTCTTGGCACTTGTGACCCCAATATCTTCCAGAAGGAAGCATCTGAGAATTTTGGGTGTGGGTGTGTGGGGTGTGGGTATGGGTGGGTGTGGGGTGTGGGTGTGGGGTGTGGGGTGTGGGTGTGGGTGTGGGTGGGTTAGTGTCTACTCTTCACAATAACACCCACACCCACACACACCCCATACCCACACTCACACCCATACCCACCCACACCCACACCCTTAGGATCAGTTGCAGCAACTGTTTGATTAGTTAATTGATTTTTATATTGAAAAAATTAATTAAGATTAGTTACAGAATTTGTTTGATTAATTTGTTGATTTTTATTATTACCAAGATGATTATAATAATTACGTTGTTTTAAACATTCTGTAACCAGCATACTTTGACGATCAAGATTACCTTGATCATCATTTTCCTATATGAAAGAAAGAATGTTATACTTAAGTAAAATTAGAGTTGAAAGCTTTGATAAGAGTTTTCGCTTGATAGAAGATGTTGTAAAACAATAATACCTTATCTTGTACAGTATTATAAAATTCTTTATGCAATTGTCGACGATATGCTTTACGTTTCTTGATCAAGGCTATAAATTTACGCTTATGGTCTTTTTTATATGTTTTAACCATTCGAGCTCCACTGTTGTTGAGAAACTACAATGGATGCAAGCCAAATGATCGTGAGCTGAGAGAAAAATCATAGATCATGTTCATTAGTACAATACTTTTTATTATATTCGGACAATATTTAACTTACTATTTCTTGGAAAAAACATAATCGTCAAATAATTTTGAAATAGAATTTTTTATATTAACCATCTAAAAATGATAATTAGATTCTTTTAATTATTTATATTTAGATAATTGTGAACGACGTAAAAACAAAACAAAGAAAAAGGATCATCGCTAAAATAAAAAACTATTGATCCTATTTACATCTGTATCCAACCAAAGTCTAATTTTTGGTTTCAAATTTGACAGAAATAGCATTTGAATTTGATATGTAGATGCATCAATTCTAGTTAATGCTAATTCTAAGTCTTTGCTGGAAATGCAAGTTGAAAGTGGTCGGAATTGAATTAGGCATTGGTAAAAATCGTTCTTTAGCTAGTTGGAATCGAAATTAGTTAGAGAAACTGGACAAACCATCGTTGGACAAGCAGCAACTTTACCAGCTACAATGTAATATGATAACGGAAATTTATATAGTTGAATTTTTCTTTAAAGTAAGGTACTTAAGTAAAAATAAGGATTTTTTTAAAAGTTTGATCAAAGATCTTTGCGGTAGAGGTAACTCGGCCGAAAAATGAAGTATATAATGTTGAAAGACTTATTGTAGATTCGAAATCCTTGATTTCAAAAACCATTGGTCAAACTTCATTAAAAAAAAAGCCATTATTTTCCCTAAAAATCCTTACTTTAGTAAAAAAAATCAAGCACATAATTTTCCATTAGCCCGTTATCCAGTAACTGGTAAAGTAACTACCTGTGCAACGGTAGCTTTCTCCAGCTCTCCTAGCCAATTCCAATGGTGCCTACCAGTTCGAATTTCAAGTCAAGAATTGTAATTGTAATTGATGCATCCAAGGAACAAACATCATAGTTTTCTACTTTACAATGTATATGGTATGCTATAGTACGTAAAATTACATTAAACTGTTTTAAAGTAGCTTAAAATACGTTATATAAGGATAAGATACCTTAAAGTACAGTAAAGTATAAAAGTACGATGTTTCCTCCTTTGCTCATATACACGTATAGATTTGATTTTCATATTTCAACATAAGAACAAGCACAAGAAAAAGACCTGAACCTTTCACAATAAACTATTCTCGTTAATGTTGTATGTCTGTGTAAAGTTTTTAGTCGACATTCAGAAATCAATCTCCATTGTGTTGTTGAGGAGATCTACGATATTGATTTAAAAAACTAACGTAAAAATACAGTATCTTCGTAGCAATGATATGAGAATTCGAACTCTTTTTGGAGTATTCATAAATCATGGAGGATTACATGGATGCATATAGACCCGAGTCAAATGCAAATTATCAATTAGGAGAGTTCCATCATAAACTTAATATTTAAACATAAAAAAGTACTATTTTATGATTTTTTAATAGTTCACAATCATATCCTAAATAATACAAGGACATTAACAGTAATTAAACATATTTTTTTACAAAATAATATAAAATTTTCTTGATAAGAAAAGCTTGACAATCTCTGTCATTCGTGAACTACATATATTGTTTTCTTTTTGTTTTCATAATAATAAAGGAATGTTTATTGTTAATATTCATAAGAAAAAACAATTCAAAAATTGTATCGTGAAATATTATTTTTGACATGTGTATTGATCAATAATCTGAATGGTTTTGAAAAAAAATCAATATATTTATTATTTTTGAATAAAAATAAAAGGCATAAAATATTTTAAATCAATGCTTCAAACAATGATCATTTGATTTTTAATTTTTACCATAAGTCTATTTCATATTAATTAATGTAATCATAAAATTTTTCTCATAAACAACTGAAATTATCAAATGAATTATTTAAGAATTGTTTTTTTTTTTTTTGTTCATGACTAGTCAAAGATTATAGTTTTCTACTAATGTCAAAAGCAGTACGTTTAACAGATTTTCTCTTTCAGAGGAGCGATTTAAAATTTCTAAAATGTAAATCTAATGTGTGAAAAGACGACGCTCTCTCGACCCTCATTTTCGATAAAATACTGATTCAAAGTATAATATTTGAATAGAGTATTTTTCCTATCAATATCAACCATGAATACTCGTTTATTGGTATTATTAAAAATGTCAATCGATTCAGTCAAAGTACAGTAGAGATATTTAAGATTTTCTTTAAGAAAAAGTAGCTATTGCGTTACTTTGTTTCAAGTATTCGAAAGTTTCAATCAAATCTGATCTATATCAACATTATGTTTGGTACACATTTCTATTTTTCTATGATAAAACAAATAAATGATTTTTTTTTCTTTCATTATTTCGATTAAAAAAATGCATAAATATATTTGAATTCGTCTGTATTTACCGATATGAAATTTTAATTTCAAACAATTGTATTATTCTAAAAATTTATTTCATTTATCGATTTCTTCGATAAGTGATCGATGATATTTTTTCCAAGTTTATTATCATCAGATGGTTTATTTATTGGTTTTTCATCAAATTGATTAACTCTTGTCGATAATTCATTTTCATTCGATAATAATATAAGATTTAATAATCGTAAATGATTATCATAAGATGAAGATAATATTTGAAGTAAATGAAATATTTCTCTTTGAATATCATTTATAAAATTCTCATTATTAGCTAATGTTCATGGTGAAATAATACTTACTTCATTACATATATCATTTTGTTCTTTAGAGTTCAGCTAATTTTTCAGATGAATTCGTTATTAATGATGAACAAGGTAAATTAAGTGGTCGATCAAATAAATTTGAACATAAACGATAATATCGTTCAAATGTTGATAATAAATTTGTTCAAGATATTGATGATACTCGTCGATTTTGACAATAATAATGATTAATATTTTCAATAAAAATATTATCGAATTCACCTTGATATTTCAATTTTTTTAATCAGATAATTTAAATGATAAACATAATGAATCATTACTATTAATCAAAGCTTTAAGATAAGTAACCATTGACAAATCACATAATTGTTCTAATGAATGTTCAACAAAATTTTTCTATTTTTTTTAAATAATAGATAAATTATTTGATAATGATGATGGAAATCGTATAAGTAATGTTAAAGTTGGTGATGACGATGATAGTTCTCTTGTTTCTGATTATTTTCATGTTAGAATATGAATACCAAAGTTATCTAATCATTTTTAATTAAAACGAACAGAATATTAATTGGATGAATTTTGTTCTCGTTGAATTATATTACATTATATTGATAGTTTTTTAATATATAAAAAAATTTCTAGATATAGATAAATCATCAGATGTTTCATATGATGATTGTACAACGGTAAAATTATCGTTGTGATGATAAATCATGAAGATATTTGACAGTATTTAATAGATTTTGAACAACTATTGTCCTAAAATAATCAAATCAATAATAAAATAAAACAAGCAAAAAAATGTTCAAGTCAATTTAATTCTACATTGATTTTCAATAATTATCAATATTTGTTGTACGTATCATTGATGTATGATAAACATATGTATCAACATATTAATGTTGATTCATTTATTTTTCATGAATAGTTTGTTTTTTAAACAGTACTGTTCTATTTGATATCATTGAATTATATACATCTGATATATATTATATATATAAAGTTCTACAAATATTTTGTAAAAACAAAACAAAACAAAAGAGAAATTATTTGAAAATTCATCGATGACATAAATTCACTACTAATATTAATATCATGATTATTAAAATATCATATTACAAATAAATTAGATTGGTATCATAACGGAAAATCACATTTTATCTCATTGAAATAAGAAGCAAAACAAGCCTCCTTGTGTTATCTATAATTGTTGTATTTTAATAATCTTTATAGTTTTTAAATCGGTCTTTTATGCAAATATCATTGTATTATTAAAAACGAAAAGTTAAACAAAAAGCACTTATTTCATTTTTATTCGATTAGATTTTGATGATATTTTAATGTAAATATTAAATTGATTTTTTAAAGTATTTATGCTTAATTTTTCTTCAGTTAATTTCAGTACTTCTACACGATATCTGTGTATGTGATTGAATTACGTGTGTGGATGTGTGCATTGTGTAGAAGATTTTTTATTTTTAACTTTAAAATATAAGTGAAAATTATATAAATTCAAAATGAATATTTTTTTTTAAGCAATAATTAAATAAACTAAAATATATTACATAGATCAATTTTTCATCTTTCAATATGGACTAGACTAGATGTCGCATTAATATAGTATGGACATTCAACATTGACTTCCCATCGCATTCATATTAAATTTACCATAGTTAAACTTCTACTTATGAACACCACGTAATTGTGAACAGTTTCGAATTTGATCGAATGATTTTTTTTTACTGAAAATGTCTTTCTGTCTAGTAGATGTATACAAGTCAGGAGTTTTTCCATCAAATGTCAATTTAAACTAAGCTTTTTTCAAATATTCTATTCTACATGAACAGATTAAAATACTAAAAATTTCATTCTTTATAAAATAAAATTGAGTTTATAAGAAAATATCGCAATAAAGAAAAAAAAGGTAGCTGAATAAAAAAAAGCAGATTATCCAGAAACGAGATGACTAATCCAAGTTGGAAAAGGTTATTTATTTACTTATTACAAGGATTTTTAGTCTTCTTTCATCTTGAACTAAATCTATAGAAATATTTACTATTTATTATTTCTATTTTTATGTTATTATATTGAATTACGAATAGAAATTAAAGTATATAAAAAGTCTTCTTCCCCTCTCTCTCTCTGTATGTTTGTATATAGTTGTATTATCCATAATTCAAAATATAAAAGCAAAATATAAATAAAAAATAATCAATCTGTGATTCTATGTGTGCCGATATATACGTCACGGCTCGCTGCTCTTCCTCTTTCCTCTTTCTCTCTATTGTTCTCTCTGTGTC